AATTTTTGATTTCCTGAGTAGTTTCTTTAAAAAGCTGGCTACCGAAAAGGCATTACTTTGCTCCTGCTTGTACTCCGATTCATCATTAGCATAAGTAGCAATATCTTTTAGTATTCACAGAAAACAAAACTAAAAGGAAAATCCTGGAAACAATAGTTTGCTTAAGGGCAAAGCACTATTGTACGTTAAAATTTCCTCGACTTTTCCCAGAAAGAAATAGGGAGGAGATAGCTGCAGCCTAATGCAATTTTTGTGTTGGCGATGCGAAAAGATTTTTGCTTGCCAATAATCCGCTGCGACAGTTGGCAAAAATGCAATTAAAAAATTTTCACTTTGTCGCTGGCGGAACACAGAAAATGCTTCATTTTTTTCTCTTACTCTCTTACTTTTCCCTCTGACGGGGCAATTGTGTGAGTTGGCCTTTTCCGATTTGTTTTGCGTAAGTTTGACAGCAGCAGCAGCAGCAGCAGCAGCAGCAGCTAAGGGAAATTCTTTCATTTAATAAAATGCGTGCCAAGTTGACAATTTCCACTGAGCTGTCTCACTGGGGGGGGGCATAAGGGATAAGCCGAAAGTTTTTCAAGTTTTTGATTTCGCTAAAGCCACGCCCTGTCCTCAGTTTGCTGTCAATCAGCAGCTGGGCGACCGGTGTGGGGGCGTGGCAACAATTTGTCCAGGCCTCCTCGGTATCCAGGTGTTGTGCCTGCCTCGGCCCGCGGCAAAGTTTTCCCATCCAAAGGTGTTGTAAGGTGCTAAAACTTGAGAGTCTCCGTTTTCTGTCCTGCTGCCCATCAGCTTGCCAGGGTAATTCACTGAGCGAGGGCTGCATTATAATGGGGATTTTCCTTTGGTTTCAAACACTCAATTGGTATTTAATGAGTGTTTTAAGGGGTTTTATAATGATGGTTAAAGTGTCGTCTGGCTTTATGTTATTTATTAAATTCTAAATTGCATTTTTTGTGATTTTATTAAGTACTTAAATCTTGGTTTCTTGCTGTCTAGCTTTGCTCCTGCTCAAGAATATATATGATTTATAGGATTGGGATTGATTCCTTCACTGTGTGCAACCTTTTGTTATTTTAAAAATACCCCTACGGAGGGTATAACTAGTTTAGTAGAAAACACAGAAAGCAATCGAGCCAATAGCTATTTTTAACCCCTAAATAAATATTATAGATCCTATATCCTATATCCTATCCAATATCAACCCACAAAAGGGGTAATTTTGTAATAAATATATATTATACTTTCTATGGAAAAATTTCAAATAATTTCCTATGCCCCTGATGGCATCCATCCCTAGTCCTTGCCGATTTGCCGATGCGTGTAAACAAATAATCTAGCTGGCGAGCAGCAAAACACCGCCCAAGTTCAAACGAAGCCAAAGCCACCGAAAACATGTAAAAAGCGAAAAGCCGGACCACACACGCACGGGTCCAGGAGCGGGAAGAGAAAACAAAAACTCGGCCATGCTCCATGCTCCATGCTCCCTGCCACTCCACTCCGCATCGGCCTGGCCGTATTGATTATTGTGATCTGCCGTGTGCTCTGCTCTGGGGGTAATTATGCAGCCATGGGGACCTGGACTGGGACCGATATGGGAACAGGGAACGGGGAACGGGCAGCGGTGTGCTCTTTGCGGGAGTAGGGTATATGGATGGGGGCCAGGACCAGGACGGGGGAAAAAAGGGGCTGCGCCTGTCATTTATTTTAAACGATTCCTTTACACATGTCGGAGGCTTTCGCCGCCAACGTTGCCGCATTTATTGTTGCTGCCGCTGCAGTTGCTCCTCCGACTCCTCATCCCGTGGAATCCCCATACCCGGTGACTCCTCATCTCGTCGACTATATAGCCATATAGCTTCTGCCTGTGTCGGCTGACGTTGGCATGCCAATCATGTTGCGTTGATGAAGTGTGAGTGTGAGGCAAAAATGTTGTACCAATAAGTTTCATCAATGGTGCTGGGGTGGGATGCCAGGATGCTCGGCAGTTCGGCACTTTGCCACTTTGGCAGTGCGTCAGTTGTTCAGTTGTTCAGTTGCTCCGTTGCTCAATTCCCCAGTTTGGCAGTCACAAAACGCTGATCGATTGTCAGGAGCAGAGTGTTGACTCTATCGTTACACAAATGGAGCGAACTGAAGTATTGTGTCAACAGCGAGAAATGCACTCAATCGGAATTCACGCGGTATTTACAGCGATGACAGCAATTTAAGGGAATCAATATATTTTTGTCGAAATATTTGAAATACCAAAATAAACACAGAGTTTATAAAATACTAAAGTTTACTCTCCAAATTAATAACTTAATTAAAAACTAAACAAGTTTCCAATTTCCAGACTTTTGATTTATTAAGCTCTCAATCTTTAAGCCCTTCCTACTGGGATCTTTGAGAAACAAGGGTATATATTCTACACGGCAGCAGCTAAGTGACTTGTTCCACCTCTTCGCCAATAATTAATTTGTTGAAAATGCAACGCCGACTTGGGGCCACCATCAGCGTTGGAGGGAAGGGACCCTGGACAGAGGCCCACTGACAGGCGGACAGCGTCCTCTGCATTATGCATGAGCATGGTAGCCAAGGATTGGCTGGGGCCCCTTGAGGAATGCGCGGCAGGGGCGCCTCTTCAAGGTTGGCCTTTGTCAACCCGAGATGCTTCTGCCGCCAGTTGCAGTTGCAAACCTCCTCCACCTCCTCCTCCTCCTGCAGCAGCTGCTGCTGCCGCTGATTAAGTCACTAAAATCGCTGCCTGATTTTCTAACTAATTTGCTGTTAATTTGTTGCTACGCTACGGCTACAGAGGCAACTCATTTCCTTCCTGTCACAGGGCAAAAATGTTGTTTCAGCTTTTCGCTTTATGCTGTCAGAATTCCGGGAAAGCCCCGTCACACACACACACACACACCACCAAAGCAAGGTGGGGCCAGGAAAGGCAACAGGGAAAATTGCAAAGAGAACGCAATTTATATAAATCAGCAGAAAAAAATGCAAAAACATTGCCGGTGTAAATTTCATAACAATTTTGTCTGACATTTATGAGGTTTTTCGTTCAGTAAAACTAACTAGGAAGCAAAGATTGATGAATAAGGTCTGTATAGATCGGAAACTGGTGGATTTTGGTAAACAGGAAGGTGAAATATTACAAATTTTTACATGTTTACCTTATAACTTATAAATTGAAATATTAAATAAACATTGAATTGTTATATTTTTTACATTTTAATCATCTAATTTCTTACGTTCTAAGATATTGCAGTTTTAAGCCCTTTAGAACCTAGGAAACTTTATACTCTTATACCCAATCTGAAATCCAGCTGGACATGCACTCGAATCGCCTGTCAAAGCGTGGCCAGAGCATCGCCTCATCGCATGCTGCACATCCAGCACTCTCCTCCTTCGCCGGCACTTGGATCTAATGTTTATCTTCCGTGTTTCGTCCAGCTCCGATTTCATGTGGAGGCCACTTTGCATGCGGACGGGTGGGGGATCTCCGGGGGATGTAACCAAGATGCGGCCGAGTGGCGCTCAATGTTTGCACTGAAAGTCACGTGCCGCACATAAAAAAAGCAACGCACATCATGATATTCGACTGATTCTGGTTCTGATTCAGATTCTGATTTGGGTTCTCCTCTTCTGTTCTGTTCTGTTCTGGTTTTCATTGAAAACGAAATTCAAAAATCAAAAATGTTGGCGCGACAAAAAAAAATATATAAAAAAAGAAAACAAAAAACCAACAGAAGCCATCAATGGGGCAGGCCCAAAGCAAAAACATTAATTAAGGCAAAACAAAAAGGAAAATGTATTGGGTGTGTATTGTTTGTGTGAGCTTGATACCCTTTAATTGTATTGCTGCTAAAGGGTATCTCTAAGCGAATCTGCCCATCATTAACCCATGCTGAATAGTTGTAAAATTTAATGTGAATATGTCAACAGTTAGGAACAAATTTTGGGGCTAAAAGGGCAATATATTTGATTATAAATATTTTAAATACTCAATTTGCGACACTTTATTTGTATGATTATCGGTTGGTTTGGCCTGAGGTCAAAACAATTTAAATAAAATGTATTATTAGGCATGATAGCTTAGCTTTTTAACACGGAGCTCGTCGTATTCACTGATAAGGCTGACGGATGAGATTGCTTATTTTTTGTTGGTGTCTAAAAATGATGTCTAGTTTGAAGATGTTCATTATAGAAAATATATTTCTTTAAAAAATATTGAAAATATATTGATATATTTCTTTGAAAAATATTCTCTAAAAAGGATAGTAACTCTAGGGTATTTCCTAGTCCGTAGAAGGCTTTCGTTCTTTTTAATATTCTTTTAGGACTTTTTTGTCTTACGCTTATTTGAGACTGTTTATGTGTGTGTGTGCGTGGGGGAGACTTCGTGTCGTCTTCGGGTTTTAGTGGGGCCTTCTTCGGTCGCTGCCTCAGTCGCCGTCGCTGCCTCGGCCAGCGTTGGCGTCGCAGTCGGAAATGGCAGCGGTGCAGCCAATTTAGCAATTTAGTTGCTGAATTTGGCAACTAAAAATAAAATGAATGCTTTGAGCCACAAATCAAACAATTTTTAATTTTTATTAAACAATTTTAGCAATCTTTTTAAACCATTTTTATATGAATGCAAGTAATTTTGTTATTTTTGTATAGAATTTTTGATGGCCTTGTATACTTTATTGATTGATTACTTTAAACATGGCTCAGAAAAATATAAGAATTTTTATTTGAATATGTTTTTAACCTAATAAGAACAAGAATGATCTCCTTTGCTGTTTATTATAATTGTGTTTAATTAATAATTAATTTTAATGACTTTTAATTACTGAATTTTAATTTAAAATAACCCACAGAAATTCCCAAAAATTGTATTTTCCAAATCTAGCAATTTTTGCCCCCTCAATTCTGGCAGCACTGAATCGCAGTCGCTTCTTGCTCTCAACGCTCGGGCTTTTTGGCTTTCTTTGCGCACGACTCTCGGCATTTTGCGTCCGCACGTCAAGGCAGGCGGACGAAATACGACGGAAACAGCAGCCAGACTTCCGCAAAGTGCCGTGTGCGCCGCACGGAGCCCGGGAAACGTGTAGCCAGCCGTGTGTCGCGTGTGCCTGTGAGAGAGAGAGTGCGGATTGTACCCGGCAAAAAGCCCGCTAAAAGTATTTCAACTATGCGTGCCACTGTTGCAAATCAAAATACGCGTATAAAATTGTGAAAAAAATAGTGTAAACGAATTCGAAGCGTAAGAGTGCTCGTCTCGTGTGCGTGTGCCCTCGGCTAATTGCTCGTGTGTGCTCAGCCACAGGTGGTGGTGGCACAGCCCCTTTATAAACCTTTATAGGCTCTCCAACCCCCTCAGGAATCACAAACCCCTGGCCAATTGTTGCGGCACACGCAAATTCGCAGAATCTTAATTAAACGGTTTCTGGGGGGGGGGAAAGGTCAGCGGGCGGGCAGTCGCAATTAGCAAATCTAACAGTTCCGAGAATCGATTCACTGCAGCAGCCCCCAATTAATTGCTTGCCCCAAAAAAACTCACAGAGAAAAGAGGAGCCGACCACGCACAGCTTTACTCCCCCTAAAAAAAATGGTTTTTTTCTTTTTCCTTTTATTTTTCTTGTTTTTTTTTTTTGGGGGGCAGAGCCAACCATCAAAGAAGTCGTCGTGGGGTGGCAAGGAGCTTTGAGCAGAGCAGGCGACGTGTGTCAAAGGTTTGACAGGTCTTAATTGTGCGGAGGACAGAGAAGGAGCAGTAGCAGTGGGGCGGAGGGCAGACACGAGGCTCCCTTTGAGACAGAGACACTGTTGCCTGGCAGCAGTTGAGGAGTAGGAGTTTTTTGGGGGTGCGGTTTACTGGATTTTCGGCTTTAAGCCAAAACGCACTTCGGGGGAATAAATTGCTGTTTTTATTAGTTAGTTTATGGTGATTTAACTTGGCTAATAAGCAGTTAAGAAGGAAGTGAATTTATTCAGTTTAAAGTACCTTAAAATGCCACTTAAATCTTAAAACATAATAAGATATTTATGAGAAGGAAATCCCCCTTAATTTTATCAGAAATTCTATCAAAAATCTCTAAAACAAAGTTAATTTTTATGTTAATTTAACCAGCACCAATCTCGAACCAAGCAAAAACCAACACTGAAAAGTGCAAAGTTAATAAAAGAAAATTAAATAAATAAACAAACAACCCAAGCCATGCTGCCAGGAGTAGAGCTCCTGCTGCTGGTGCTCCTCAGCCCGCCCCTCTTAGCGGAGATCTCGCACTCGCCGCTGGCCAGTAACCGGATTATCCTGGATTCCACCGAGTTGCTGCAGCCGCTCTTAACCCAAAATCGGGATCCCAATGCGGAGACATTGCCAACGGCCAGGGCGACGCCTGTGCCACCGCAGCGATGTCCGTCGTTGCAGCGTTACCGCAAGATGCTGAAGGACATCGACGATGTGGAGGACCTCTATGTGGACGTGCCCGTGCACATTGCTTTGGCGGAGCGACAGAAGAAGCGGTGAGTACGGTGCAATATGGCTAAGTGCGCTGGCGACGCCGCCTGCCACACAAATCAAATTACGGCCAAACAAATACGGAAGATGGCCAAAACCGAAAACCGAACTTAGGGGCGCCTCCGAGGAGGACGAACAAGAAAAAGGAAAAATAATTTATAACCACGACGTGTGGCTGGCCAAACAAAAAACTCTCCACGGCCAGAGATTTTTTACAGTTGTCCATAAACGTGCATGTGTGTGCTGTGCTGTCAGTGTGTGTGTGTTGGCCACTGCTCTCCTTCTAGCCGTTTGTCTAGTGTGCGAGTTTTTGTTGCCATCACAGCTGCCGCAGCCGCCACACATTGCACACTGGCTTCTGATTTCATAGTAAACTTTTCCAAAATCTATTAAACTATTGGCGAAAAAGGGGAGGTGTGGGAAAATGGGCCTTAAGTAGGCGGAAAAAGATGCTTTCAGATGCCTAAAATGCTTAACTTAATCCATTAATATGCTAGGAAATGGAGCATATCATAAATAGATGAAAAATGTGAGAAATTAAAATTTAAATTGCTCAACAATAATTTAATTTTAAATTTAAATGCTATTAGTTCAGCTGCATTTAAAAATTAAGCCAAAATTTCTTAATCAATGATAAACCTTATAAGACCTTAGAATCAAAGAGCTAGAGGAAAAACTCCAGCTGGTTCAGGAAATAATTCATCTTTTTATTTTATGTATTTTATTTTCTCTAATTAAACAAACAAATTGTTACTTTCCCCCTATTTTTTCCTCTACAAAACCTATTTAAGACCTGAAAATCTCCTATAGCTCAAATATCGAGCTTTAAATTCGGCCCCCTGGCAACAAAAAGCCACGGTTCCCTTTGAGTTGCACGTGGCGTATGAGTAACATTCCGAATTTTTTCTCCTCTTCTACTTTTTCATTGGTTTCCGCTGGGCCGCAGCTTGGGCCTGGGTCAAACACGGCCCGTCACGTTTTCGCTTAGGCTGTGATGGTCCCGGGATTTCAGTTTCCATCATCTCCAGTGAACGTGCAGCCGTGCTGGGGAGGGTGGACAGGAGAGAGAAGGGAAACTGAAAGCCCAGGGCTCGTATAACACTCGATCATTTGCCATAGAATGCCGGCAAACATTCAAATTAATGTCGTGGTTTGTCGTCAACTCCTTTTTCGGTTCTTTTTCCCCCAGTTTTTTGTCTCGTTTTTCCTGTACTATATATATATGTATATGTGTGTGAGTGATGCTGTAAAGTCGCGCGACCCAGCGAGAGAGCTCCAATTGCCCAAGTGCAGCTCCAGTGACCGGCTCGGTTTGGAGACTGTGGAGATCTGGGGATCCGAGATCCAGTGCCACAAAGCCAGAACCAGAGTACGTGATGTTTGGCTCGAGTTTCCCCAGTTTGCTGAGCGTGTGAAAAGGAGCGAGTTGGCCAGTGCAACAGCAATGGCAAATATCGCTTTTATGGCGCGTGCAGCCATTAAGAGTTTCGCTAGAATCAGCAGTGCCCATTCCCATTCCGATACCCATTCCTATGCCAAGTGGACCTCGTGCATATCCTTCCAACCAGTCACAGTCCGAGGTCCCCCCCCCTTGGGCCTGCCAATCAAGGCGCAAGCGTTAATATTTTTGCACAAACAAATCATAAATATTAATTTTACGACTTAATTCGACGGCGCAATGTGCGCTCCCGTTCCCATTCCCATTCCCAATTCCCAGTTCCCAATGCTCAATTCCGCGGCTCGCCTTCGCAGCTCGATCAATGCGGACGCGAATGCCACCTGTGGCACCCGCTCGCTAGTTTTGCCCGGCAGTCGTCGTCCAGTCAGTGGCCCCAAATCAAAATAAACCCCAAAACTGTACAAATTGTGATGTGTGCATTCTGGAATAAGCTCGACGGGGAAATACCTTCGTTTGGAGCGGTTTGAATACAGTTCTTTGTTTAAATAATATTGGATTTTACTTAAATATCATTAGATTACTGTTTTTAAAAATATTTACTTAAAGAAAGGAAAAGTCTTTATTAGAAGATATACAGCCTAAATATTTTTTAACTTCAAGTCCTAACTCATACGCACTCCAGGCACTAGGTAAACCCTGCTGCCCCACCATTTTGTATGGGGAATGAAGGCAAAATGTTGTTAATATGTTGATGCTGTTGTTTGATTGTTGTTGGCGTTGCATTTTTATGTGCGCCGCAGGCTCAGGCGATGTAAACAACTTTTATTGCCCGGCCAGCCACTCGCCACTCGCCCCCGTCTCCGCCTTGGTCTCCGCCTGCGTGTCCATCTCCTCCTCCTCCTCCTTCTCTAGTCCGTGCGGCTTTATGGCGTGAAACTATTTATTTGTAAGCGCATCAAAGGAGCCACAACAACAACAGCAGCAGCCACAACAGCAACAGTGGCTACAACAAATGGCCATAAAATGCGGAGCATAATTCCCAGTGTGTGTTTCTGTTTGGTTTGGCTTTCGGCTTGGTTTTAACCAAAAACTACGCAGACCTTGCTGCGCCTCAAAAAAAATTTCGCACAATGACCAATGCCCCAGCTACGTCGTCATCATTCGCGGCAATGCTTTTTGCTTTTTGCGCCGCCAGAAAAGATCTCCTACGAATGGTATAGTATCTATATTTTTAGCACTTGACAGAGTACGAAAATACTCGGTCGAGACGGTGGCAGACTGATTGTGAGTCTCTGAAATTGGAATCGGAATCAGAAAAAGTATAGGAATGGGACTCGGAATCGACAGAACCAAACAGAACAGAACAGACACAGGGGCGTCGCTCGATTTGAGGTCTCTTAGTCAGACGGCATCGCATCAAGACGATGTCGCACTTCGCACGCCGTATGTCTCCTCAACGCACCATAGTTCAATAGTCTAAAATTTCCCAAAACAAAATAAGAAGGGGAAAAGAGGAGGAGAAAATATAAATCAACGTTAGGGAAGCGCAATTTTCAAATTACCGACACTAAGTGCTCATGGTGTGTGAGTAATTGAGTGTGTCTTTGTATGACGGGGCATTGTTTTTATTATTTGGTTTTTGGGTGTGAATCACTGCACATAATCAGTGATAGAGCTATCAAATCAGGATCACAAGGGTGAAATGAGAGCCCTCAAGAGTGGATGAGTAATTCGTGGCACTTATTGTGGGCGAGTAGAAGATCCATTAATGAAAACATATGATAAATGGCTTGAACAAGTTGGAGAAGATTGAGGCAGGTTGCGGAAGGGGAAAGTATAAATAAATGCGAATTTTCCCGAAGAAGAAAACTGATTTATCGACAATCTTATATTTGAAAAGTGTACTTGTACATTTTAAATGAAATATGATTTTAAGTGGAATTTTCAAATTGGTATTTAGATTATTATTTTGTGATGTAGTTAACTAATTAAAAAAGAATTTTTTGCCTGCCGTCTAACACATTGATCCTTCTCATCAAGGGATAATTGCAGAAGAATAAAAATTACTTTATATACTTGGCAATTGAAATACAAATCTTTGAACTATTTCAGTATTTATTTTTGATAATTTTTAAACAATTTATAAGCATTTTATGCAAGCTTGTTAATATATGAACCCTTAAGGATTCCTTCCAAAACATATCTGTGACAATTCATTTGAAAAAACAGCTTATATGGACTTGAAATAAGGAAGCTTCCAACTTTATTTTTCTCCCAAAAAGCATTATCTATTAAATGGGAATCCGAATGAAATTTACGAATTTATATCCTGTAACTCACATAATTCGACAAGAAAGTTTCTCTCTCTGACCCTACTACTATATGCTTTCCAATTTCATTTGTGATATTTTCAATTCCGAAACTTGTGCCATCTGATATTGGCGCGATATTTGTTTGGCTTGAAAGTGCATGGCACTGCAGTAACTTCCTGTGCAATCAGCGAATGCGCCACTTATGGGAATATCTGCTTAACTCGTTCTTTATCTCTGTTTTCGCTCCGGACTTTTCTCAGTTTCTCAGTTTGGGGAAAAGCTGAAGCTGATTGTCAATTTGCGGAAAGCAGCAAGCCACCAGCTAGGGTGTCGCCGCCTCCCAGAGGAGGAGGAAGGGGCACCGGCACCGGCACCGTGCCGGGACACGGACGGACTCCCTGCCTTTGCCTGTGATTGTTGCAAAAATAGAATTTCGTCTCTGATTTTAAGTATTTCGCGTGAAAAGTAACAGAGGCGACCAGAACAGAACAGAACAGAGCAAAGCAGACTAGACCAGACCACGGGCCAGACAGAAGAACATCCAGACGCAGACGCAGACGTTTCCCCAAAGGGGGCAAGACGGAGTCGGTAGCCGGGAATGGGAAGTCTCAGAGTCACAGTCAGTGTCTCTCAATTGCAAATTTATGTGAATTGAGTCAATTTTTATCGCAGCAGGCAGGCAGAAGGAGATGGAGGAGGAGGAGGGGCATTAGTTTGGGTTAGTTTCCCCTGCTCTCTTGGCTCTTGTTTGTCCCTAGAAAACTTTGCGTCGTTTGAGTGGCGTAAATCGTACGACTGGAGCCACTTGAACTTGGATGGTACTGCCATCCTGAAATCCCTTGTTCCTCTTAACCTTTCCCTTACCCTTGCCACGCCTCTTCTTTTGACGTCGCTTAATCCTGTCCTGCTGCTTTCTGCTGACCACCTGGCAGCGCCAATGTCGGGTTATTAACTCCCCTAGAAAGGTGAGGGCGGCACAGAAGATGCCCACCACCAGGATGCCAAAGGGTCCTTTGAGGTGCTCCGTGGTCAGGACAATGGCCATGTCCGCAAAGTGTGGCCTCATCTTGTTGATCCTGTTTAAATACGTATTGTTGTACCGAAAGTCTGCGTCGATCTTCTGGAAGATGCCGACATCCCGCATCAGCCGGATGATGCTGTTCATCTCGAACAGGAAAGGGAAGCCCGCCTTCATGATCATCTGCAGCGGACTGCTAAAGACATTCTGCTCGAACGCATAGATGTCGTCCGCTAGGGGACTCTGCAGCGTGTACATTCGGTTGCTGAGGATGCAGCGTTCACCCGACTTCACGGCCTTTAGGTTCTTTGTTTGCGGAGTGAACTCCGGTGAGATGTTGTACCCATTGAAAATCCACATGTCATCCTCGTTCTCAAACCAATCACGACTCTCTTCGTGCCCGCCGTAGGGTATACCGGCGGCCACCACCTCCGTCAGTTCGTCCAGCTGATGGAGATAGCCAGGGTCCTGGAATGTTCCTATCATCTTGGACGTATAAATGGCCACCACATTGAGCCCGTAGAAGGTCAAGGCCATGAAGAAGATCCGCGTGGCCTCGCATATGGGACGCTCCTGAACTGCAATGCCTATAGATACGGCCATGGTGTTGATGGCCGTCAGGCTGATCTGTTGGAAGTATCTCGGCTCCGGCAGCACCTTCACCAGGGCAAACCAACACCACCAACTGAGCAGCTGTACCAGGATAAAAGCAACCCAAGTAAGGGGCTCAAAGATCCCAACCATTGCCTGCCAGGCAGGACGGCGGTCGGCCACCTTGATGTACCAGGTGTGTGCATCCTGCAAATAGGTATCGGAGCCCCAGAAGAAGTCGGCCACTTCGTTGTCCGGATAGTAGCCACCGATAACAAAGTCGCACTCGTTGTCGGTTAGCTTACCGAGAAGGCCATTCCATACGCCATTGTTGTCCATCTCTCCCCGAGACTCGGTGCTGCAGGTTTGATTAACCTGGAAGGATATAGACAGGTAGAAGGAGAGGTTATTATCCTTTGGTATCAACTCACATAAAACTTCATTCGATTTCTCATAAAACCCAGAATCCTCATCTCCAGGCCCGTGATGCAGTCGGCCTCCACAAAGGGCGCAGAAATCGAGGCACAGACGTAGAAGGTGCAGTAAGCAGGACTAAATCCCGCCACATAGTCCAACATAGAAGCATGCACGGCATTGGGACTGGGGTACAGCTCTCCATCATGGCACTGACCCACGCTCTGGACATTCAGAATCCGGCAATCCACATTGCTGTAGTAATCATTGACCAGAAGATTGTAGTCCATGGAGGAGTTGGCATAGAGCAGGGCCACGCGATGCACATAGAAGCTGTGCATCAGCTCGTTAAAGATCTGAGAGGCCACGGTCCAGGGTCTATTCCGCATGTGTGGGTTGTGAAAGAGCACTAGGAATCTGGCTCCGGGATTCCAAGAGCGCATCTTGCTTATAAAGCGACTCATCAGGCTGAGCAGTCGCTCCACCGAGTCCACTATTATCACATAGTTATCCGTGTAAGTCAAAGCGCCAAAGCTCTTGCTACGATCGTGTCTACTATGATCGGTAACGACTCGCATCTGGAAGAGTTCCCCTCTCCGTGGCTCCGTGGGATCCGTGGCCGCCTCGTTGATACGCTTGCTGAAACCCTCCTGGATCTGGTCAGCCGGACTGGAGAGATTGAAGGCATGGGTCAGCATTAGGTTGTAAGCTCTGGTGAAACGCTCAGCGGGTTTCCTGTAGAAAAAGATTTGCGCAAAGCTGTCCAGGCAATCGACTCCGGCTTTCCACACCTCGGGTCCAATGTCCTTGGCTGGCAGCATATAGATCACCGTGTTGGCTGTCTCATTTGAGGGATTCACTATGCCAAAACACAGGTCGAAGAGCTGAAGCAATGGGAGGATGACACTCAGGTGATTACGTGGTGTAATCTTCATTGTCGTGTCAGTCAGGTTGGACAATTGCGAATTAACTGCGGCGGGTGTGAACTTTGTGGTGCATGTTATACACGGTGGATGCCCTACTTTTTGCTAGATGAGCTTCTAGGTTTTCGGGACTTTATGAAAAGAATTACAAGATTAATAACAGTATTTATTATTATTATTATTATTGAATAGATATAAATATTATTAGAAAACCTCTTAGTTAGTTCCTTATATAAAAAATAATACAGCTCCCTAATAACATTATTAAAATCACTTAATTGACTCTGCCCTCTTCATAAACATAAGCAGCAGTTTCCTCTCCATAAACCATAAACTTTTGACCATAAATGCAGTATTATTACTACCTACTTACCCACTTACTTTTGGGCCTGGTCAAGAGGCCATTAAATCACTTCCTCGCAGAGACCAAGAGCGCATTCAACTTTCGTCTTTGGCTGATGTTGTTTGCCTTGTATAATTGACTGCTGTCATCATCGTGCAGAGCAGACAACAAGGATGGCCCGGACCCGAACGAATGACAAACAATCGCCATTGCAACATGCAAGGCTTAAATTAAAGCAAATATTTGCTCAGCCGACGAGGCGCCGCCGCCGCCGCCGCCGGCAACAATGGTCGCAAATGCATTAAAACACTCCATCAATCCGATCCGATTCGGATCCGCTGGAAAGCGGCGGAACCTTTTGGCAGGGCGGCCAAAAATATATACGACCGACTCTGGCCCGGTTGCGGGGGATGGTCACTAGCTGGAGATGGAGAGATGGCGTTGGCCGGAAGTAGCCGGTCATAAAAATAAAACTCGAGATGGCCGGCCATAAGCCAAGTCAATGAGTCATTTGCTGCAATGGCCATCCTGCTTCCAAGCTCCTCCTCCTCCATTTTGTTTGGCCGCAGTGCATCCTAGACATCTTGTGAGTCCCTGTGTGTGTGTGTGTGTGTGTGAGTGGGTGTGGGTGTATCGGCGAGCTCATTTGTCTTAGCAGTTTGTCATTAGAAAAATTGCTCGTAAATTTCGCATTTAATTACAATACAAAACTCTGGCAGGCCAGAGCACACAGGCCGCTGCCCAGGGGACTTGGACTCAATCTTTGGCTGCAACAAAGTTGCAACAGCTTCAGAGCGGAGAAGATGGATAAACAAAGTTCGGGGAAGAGATTCTTTTTTGGCAAGTCGAGTCGGGGATACCCTTGGAATATCTGAAGGAGCAAAATTATTGAAAAAATTGGTATCAAAAATATAAAAGGAATATAAGGATAAGAAAACTAAGATCTCCCATAAAAATACATACAAATTCATAAATAACTATAACTCAGTCAACGATATCTTTCTTTAAAAATACCATAAGCTAAACTACCCCTTTTGGCCAGGGTAACCTACCAAAGCCGCTGACTCATTTGGCTCAGTTCGGCCGGTCCAGACAGGCGGCAAAACAAATTGCGTGTGATAATTTAGTGTCATCATTTTTGACAAAGGGCGTTAACAGCTCACTTACTCCGCCCCTCAAAGCCGCCTTCATCTCGTTTTGCAGATTTGTGCTGAACCTGAACGCCTCGACGCCGCTGACGATTCGCTTTTCGGCGCCCGTGGGCCGCAAGATGTACTACAATCGCACAGGTAAGTCGGCCTCATAGGTTCCCCGTCCAGTTGCAGCCATTAACCCCCGGCTCCTGCCTCCTTGCAGCGAACCTGCTGCGCCCGGCAGCCGCTCCACCTGGGCCAGGTGTGGCTATGGGCAGCCTGGTTCTGCCCTGCGCTCTCCGCGGTCACTATGATCTCTTTGTGCTCGCCCGCCACAGCGGCGCTCTCAAGGTGGACGCTTTGGCGGAGCATCCGCAGAAGGACTGGCCGCTGATCAATGCCACGCACCGGATTGGCATTCGTACCCAGAACCGAGTGCGGAAGCGCGAGATGATTGTCAAGTGGGACAGGAGGTGAGTGGTGGTAGTTAGGTTATACCTAAAAGTATGCAGAAATATAAAACTAACAAAATTTATTGTTTCTAAATACCTCATCCTTCCAGCAAGTTTGACTACCATGCCATGCACTATTGCTTGGTGATCCAGCGCGTGACCCCAGACTCACCGTTCATATCCTTTGACAACTTTTGCCAGGCAGTGTCCGCCTATGTGGACCAGCGGCATATGTCGCCAAGCTGCTCTGCAAGCAATCTCCTGGACCTGGTCTGGTCTACACCACCGCAAAGGGAGCGACGACTAAATCCTCGCCAGAGCCTGCATGTTGTTTGTACGGGGAAGCGGCGCCAGCAAATGCTGCGTCGCCTGCTCCCAAGGAGTACCTATCAGCTGGATCTGTTTGGGGTCCATCAAACGCGTCAGAATCTCACCATTCGCTTGGCGAATAGCCAGGTTAGCTTTAATCGCACCCAGCCGCTGGCCTTAAGGCAGCAGGCGCTGCTCCTGCTCAAGATCGGTGGCCAGCATGGGAAGCAGGTGTACAGCTTCAAGGTGCCGCCGACGCCGCCACAAGTGCCAGAGCCCTTTGTGCGGCACTTGCTTATACCCTGCTCCGGCAGTGAGATTCGGGTGCGTCTGCTCCGCCAGCGAACAGAAGTGGGCCGGACGGAGGCTTTCTACAGTCCCACCTACCTCCGACAGATGGGCGTGCAGCCTGGCGAGCGGTATCTGATGCGCTTCGAGCCCAGCAACGAGGACGAAGCCTTCCGCGCCCAGAAAGTGATGGTAAGAATCCTAAGGAAATTCAGGAAATGTCTAAAATAAAAGAAGGAATATTTGTATCTGCCAGGTGGCTTTGAGCAGCGAACCGCAGTTCCGGGATTTGCCTGACTTGCCGCAGAATGCGAGCGTCTTCAATGTGCGAACGAGATGCAATAGGGCCACCATAGCCTGGAATGGCTCACTAGATGAGCGGGAATTGAGGTGAGGCGTAATAAAACTTAAAGTTCGGATTTTCAGATATATTATATTGTTAATATCCGGACTTACAGCTACTGCATCATCGTGTTCAATCTGCCGCAGCGCAATCGCAGCGTGGTGGACCCCACCAACTACTGCATGGACTTTGTGCCCAAGCGGGTGATGCAGTACAGGAACTTTGAGTGGATGACCTGCCGGGAGAGGCAACAGAGGTGGGTTTAAAGTTTAGTTTTAAATCGAAAATTTGGAGGAAGTAAAACTGCATTAACTTAATACTTATATTCCCTTTTTCAGCCCCGACAACATCGAAACGGAGACCATACTCAACCTGATGCCGGGCTCCAGTTACCTGGTGTATGTGACCGCCAACCTGAGCATGGGCAAGCCCCTGCCCTATCAGGCACTTACCCTGCACATGGCTAGCCAGTGTTTGGATGGGTCCCACGAGTCCTTCTACTAGGCGTTACGGCTACCGGTTTCACTTCCGGTTCCGGACCCAAAAAAGCTTCGCTGCATTTTTCGAATACAAAATTACAAAAAAGGCCAAGGCACCCAACTATCCGTCGTTGTAAAGCTACCTTATCCACTACGATTACTACACTAGCCTACCAATGCTATGCTGGTTAAAAGACTATACACCTATCTCCATATATATACAGATATACAGATAAACCGATATACAGATATACAGATATATACCGATATATATACATATGTTCGTGGCAAATGTTGTGTGAGCGAGTGAGTGTGCGTGTGTGACTTCTGATTGTGTTTTGCCAAAAAAGAAGCAGATTCCAAGTATTTTCGAGTGCTTACTATATAGTTTTGTAATGTTTAGCTAGCCGTTAATGTTTGTAAAAAAGAAAATGTTTAATTGGTTTTTCCGAGCCCCATTCACCATTTTCCCCTGAAACCCTTCCTTACCGCATAATCGTTTTTAGATACTTTAGTTCTTAGCCTTAGCTCCACTCCTAAGTTAACTTTAGGTTCCTTAAGCTTTTGCTGTTAAGTTTAAACCGTAAACAAAGTGTTTTTTGTAGTTCTTTTGTACATTAAGCTTACCACGTAGATATACTCTATTCGTAATGTGTGTGCGTTGAAGGCGTTGTATTTTTTAAAGCTCTTAAACCTATGCAACCGAAGGCCGAAAGGCAGGAAGGACAATAAACAAAGTGTGCTATATAGGGAGGTGAACGGAGGGAGGAGAAAGTGTCGCAAATAAATGTGAAACCACAGCTAAAGTAAATCGACTTGCCAAGGTGTTCTATTATTTCTTAAACTGCTTCGGTTTCTGATGAGCGATTACACCTGCCATCATCATTATCACCTCCACGATGGCGTGTGCAGCGAGCTGCGCATAATAATGACAGCGGATAGCCATCGGTTAACGGTGAAGCTAACGACGATAAGCGGCGCCCGATAATGAAACATTAAACCAGAAACGAGAGAGAGAGGCCACAAAACCCATCCATCGGTAGCCATTGCAGGCCATAAATCTGCCGGCGGCAGTTTACTGGCAAAAGCTTTTGGGTTCGGACCGTTTGCGGCATACTTTCGGGCCGGTACGGGAAATGGCCCTTTTACACTATACTTTGGAGCAACTGGATCTGTACCTGAAGTGGGCTTTTGTCACGCATAGCGAGTCTACCGAGATCCCTACGACCACTGCTCGCTATCCGGGCGTCTTTGTGAGCGATCTTAGCCAGCTGAATAGCTTCAAGCGGAATGCCTTCTCTGCCGTGGTGGGCACCTTGTTTGTCCTGGCTTTCACCGGGAACCTGGGTACTCTTTATGTCAACACCCGAAGAAAGCTGCGTCCCTTCTTTCGGGCTTGTCTAATATCCTTAGCCTGCAGTGACCTGGTCTCCACCGTCTTCTGCACGGTGTCCTATATGGCGCAGTTTCAGGCACAGTATCTTCAGCTTTGGGTGAGTCAAACTAAGGATTAGCTTGTTCCTGTTTGGGTTGAGTTGAAATAGGTTTCCTAGAGGAATTTTAAAAATAAAATATCCTTCAGACAATTGGTGGCTTCATGTGCAAGTTTGTGCCCTTTATTACCACCACTTCGGTGCTGTCTGGCAGCCTGACTTTGGTGGCCATCGCCCTGGATCGCTACTTGGCTGTGATGCGACCTGTGCTGGGCTTCTGGAATCCCGACTATCGCTTTAGCACCCTCTGCATGCTGCTGATCTGGGCCTGCTCTATAGGCGCCTCAGGACCCTTATTAGGAATCTATGACTACCGTCTGATTTATCTACTGGATGTGGAGCGCAATAAAACTGAGGAGGAGACAACCAGCACAGTTACAGTTGAGCCGGAGGAGCTGGTGGTCACCGAACTGGAGCTGGTCCATATGTGCCTGGCCGGGGACGTAAGTGGGGGAGCGGATAGATTATCGCCGCTAATACCGAGCGATTAAGGCGGACAGTTGACAGTTGTTGAATCAATGTTCGGTTTATCTTATCGCCGCCGCTGTGTGAATAAACTTATGCAATTCTATTAATATTCTGTTTTTCAGCACGATGTCGGACTCTACTACGTCATACTCTTCACCCTGATTTTTCTACCCTGCATCGTGTCGTTCCTCTGGCTGAATGCAACGATAGCCAGGCAATTGTGGCTTCGCAGGCACTACCACCAGGAGCAACATGTGCAGAGCCAGGAACCAAAGGAGGGTCAGTTCAAGTCGCTGGGATCGTCGGGCAAAGGGGATCTCCTTATGCCCTCCACGCTGGTCAGTGCCATGGGAGTAGCTCTACCTTTTGTGCTGGAAAAGGCGGGTCCACTGCCGCAGACGAATCCTCTACGGGCGGAACCTGTAAGAAAGACCACGGCAGCAGCCATGGCCAGAGAGGCCAGACATCGCAAGATGGTGGTGATTGTTGTCCTGATGATGGCTGTCTTCATTTGTCTACGACTGCCAGCGTGGGTCTTCCTGATCATGCGACTCTATGGCTCCTATTCGGAGCCCGTCGACTGGCTGCTCTACTTCAGTTTTGGCATTTTGAACCTTTTCAGTTGTGCCTTGAATCCCATATTCTATACCTTCCTCACCCAGACCATACGCACCGTGTCCCTGATGAAGCAGAAAATCCGTGGATTCTTTGGCTGCAGCAATGGCAAGCCACAGGATGCAGCCATGCCCCTGGATCAGGTGAACAGGAGCAGCTGCTGCTGCGGCCTGAGGGCGCCCACCTTTAGCTGGCGCTGCTACCAAGCTAAGGAGAAGCAAGGAGCTCCCACCATCGAGATAAAGGATTTGGAGCTGCAGCTGCCCGGCCAGCCATCGGGCGAGGTGCAGTCGGAGCCGAGTGGCCTGCGGCGGTTCAGCTTCCGGAGCTTCAAGCGCGAGGTGTTCACCATTTACAAGCAGTGCGATGACTCGTCGAGTGCGTCAATCGAGTCCTCCGCCTGATAGCCGAAGCCGGAGCCATAATGGCCATAAATCACCCCGAGTGCAGTTGTCGGATACGGGGGGGCCAACGGTTAGCAGAATTTGATTGATGGATCTATCTACTACTCTCCCTCCTCCTCCTGCACTTCACCTCTTCCAATCAAATCCACAGTCCGCCAAAAAACAGTTTGTCATGGCTGGCATATCACCTATCACATATAAGCACACATATTATGTACCTCATTAAACGTGTAAATATAAAGAATCAAGAAATAAACAAAAATTGGGTGTTGGGAGCCATTGAGCATTGAAGCAAAAGCTATAAAAAATCAAGAGGGTTTAAGTGATTAACACTGGCTTATCAAGATCACTTTTAGGTCGGTTTTTAGAGTGTAAAATAAAAAAAAACTATATTATTATGGAGAACTAGCTGGGTATGGATAGAGAGCTTATTATGGAAATTATTTAAACAACAGTTTTTGACACTGAAGTCGGGTTAAATGCCATAATTAATTAATTGGTAATGAGGCCCTTTAATAGAGGTATTTATAATATCTTTATTATAAGTACATGATTATTTTTAGAAGGCCACTGCAGTCAGTGGTTCGGTAATTTACCATTAAATTTAACGATGTAAGCTAAGCTTAATTTCTAAAATAAATAAATAAATTTTTATATTTAAATATACATAGGATATCCCATTTTACAAAGCGCATTATTTTATTTTTATTCTAGTTATATTTTTGTTTTTAAAAACATATGTTTTATTAGTTTTTCTAATTAATAACGCCAACATTAAATAAATAATATAAAAGTTTGCTAAATAATAAACACAATTTTTATAAGATAAATCAAGCGAGTGATTACTATTTAAGCAAACATTTATTCCAAAAAATTTTTCTACTCAAAAAGCTTGTTATAAAAATATATTTTGGGTGCTAATAAGCTACTAAAAGCCAAAAATGAAGGCATTATGAACTTAAACTAAACTCAACTAATTGTGATTTCTTCAGAATTTGACTTACTCATAAACGGGTTAAAAATACTTTAAGTAGTGGTTCTATTCCTTCATTAAAACCCGATAATTAAGTCACTTAAAAGTCCATTTTAGACTAATTTAAAACATAAAACCTAAACTAACATTTTTCCAAGAATTAACCTGACTAATAAACCTATTCATTATAAAACCAGCAGATCGTAGCCAAAACAATGTGTGATCTGTTGTTCAGATTCTATTTCTATACTCTAAACATAAATTGACTTCCGTTTTGAAACAATGGCCAACAGATTTTCAAGCAAGATACAAATCAAACTAATTAAATGTCACAAGTTGAGTATATTCTGTGGTTCCAAAAAAGCTCTTTCTCTCTGTCTCTGTGACTCTCCCCCTTTGTTTATTTTCCATCTCTCGGTAGCTGGAGATCTGAGAAATACTCTCTCTGTGCGGCAAACTTTTATCAGCTGCCGAGCCAAGCTCGACTCAAAAGCTGGCTCAGTCATTCAGTGCGGTTCGCGGCGAGCGGTTGGATTTTCTCAGCGGAGAAAAAACGCGAAAAACAGTGCTTGAAGGCGGGTGAAATCTACGAAAGCAAAGAAACAACAAATTCCAAGTGAAGAGTGCACGCCAAAGAAAAAATAAGTTCAGATCGCATTGTGCGATTATAGAAATTCGTAAATGAAACGCAAATAAATGAGGCCAATCAGCGACAGAGAGCTGCGAATTATGGCACAATATTGTCTAAAAATATAATCAAGTGTAACTGTAAGAAAGAAAAAGTGGCAAAGGCACAGCGGAAGAAAAGGGAAAGAGCCAAAGAAACCGAATAATACAAAAATCAAGAAAAGAAAACGAAACGACACAGAACAAAGCGCCTTCGTTGTGGGTCAAGAACGAAAGTTCGGGCTCAAAAAAAAGGTAACTATAGTTAGGCAGAGTCTGCTCGGCGTTGATCTATGTTTTGGTTTTGATTTGATTTTGTTTAAATTGAATTGGATATTGATTTGATTTGCTTTAATTCGGCTTAAGACTCTGTCAAACCAGTTGTGTTAGTTTGTGGTAGTTTGTGATTTACTGTTACACATTTCGTCAGAAGGAGCCGTCAGGAAAAACACGTTTGCGCATTTCACTTTGGCTCTCTTATGGCTCTCCGCCATCACGCATGCGCCGCGCAGCTCGAAGCTCTGGGATTTATGAATCGCTTGCAAAATCTGCAGTTATGCCGCCAAGTTGTAAACTGTCTGCACTTTGTTTCACTTTTGTGCAGCAGGTTCTATATAGTCTAAGCCTCTATAGCTACCTCTCTGTGGGGGTCTTCTGGTTACGCAGCTTTATGCTTTCGTTGGGCAGAGAGAAGAGTACTCTATAATTACTAGGGTTTATAGGATTTGTGGAAAGGTATAGAATAGTGAAAAGGGAATCCTTAAAAATTTAAATAACTTACAATATTGGTTTATAATATGTACTTTTATTTTAATTTTAAAGAAATTTTTGGAACCTAGGAACCCTTTAAGCCTAAGCAAAGAGGTGAAACTCAATTGACAATGTCTTTATAATTTCTTTCAAATTTTTTTAAGCAAGTTAGGGTATTTCAAAGTCCATACACCCCATAACACTAACCATTCTATGGATACTATAGTCACCGTTGCTATTTGCGTGCAGTTCGCTGTGCGTGCCAGGTATTTGAGGTACGATGAGTGGTTCAGTGGCTCGCTGGTTCGGTGGCGACTGCATGTTTAATTAGCCCCCGCTAACCAAAACCAAAACCAACACGGGGGCCACAAAAATAAATATATATAAAAAAAGAAACAACAACAAAAATATAGGCCACTATTTGGTCATGACGAGGCTGTTCCATTGGCCAGCCCATACCATCCATACGAATGGCGAATCAAGGCACACGCACTCCCTAACCAAAGCCTGACCATGAATAATAAAATCTGGGAGAACTGCTGGGGAGTGTAGAGAAGATGGACATATCTTTCGATCGATGAGGAAGATCGTGGAGGCATTTTGGCATTACTTTTCTAATGTCTACGTGCCTGAAATGGCAACTATTTCCTTTTAATTATAACAAATTCAAGACGTGAAGTGGGTTAAATTCTACTCCGTAATTAAAGCTTTCTTTTGTCAAATCAATATAATCGGTGTCTCTCTGTCGAAAATTTCCATAAGGCCAAATTGCTGCCGGAAAAAAGAAAGAAAAGAAACGCACTTTCGTTTTCATTTTCGGTTAGGTGGCCGAGAGTGAGAGAGACTCCCATCTCTTTCCTAATTATTATAAAACAAGAAATGTTCATTAAAACATTACATGCAGCGTGACCGACTGCAGCAGCAGCAACATTATACAATAGACACTAAAAGACAAAGCCAACACGATTGAGCTAAATGACTTAAGCTCTGGGCGTGGGACCTGGCCTGAGATCCGCTCCATTTAGCACATCACATCCCAAAGTGTTTTCGAAATAACAAAGAGAGAAAGAAAAAAAATGATATTATCAAAAAATAATTTCTAAAGAAAGTGAAAGTTTCTGTTTTTTTTTTTTTTTGGGCGCGTACACCAGGGTATATATTTTTTATTCCCCTCCAGCGGTAGCGGCCCTTTTTCGGAGGGAGGCCTATTGTGAGCGTGAAAGCTGAATGCGGTCGGATGCAGATGGTTGTTGTGCCAAAAATCCATTTTTCTACCCACGTGCTGCAGCTATAACACCAAGCTTTGAGCTTCGGAAACCTGTTTAACGATAGCCTCCCCTTTCCTACCTTTTTTTTGATAGTTTTGTAATGTCTTTCGGCTGGGTTCAGTCGCTTTTGATGGCTGTAACTTGACCTGCATTCAGCTGGAAATTAGTGTTGTCCTCGGTTAACCTTGTCCGCGAAACGAGTTTTCTGGCCTAGCCTCTCCTAGGCCCCTGCCAAATGCGTTAATAATGCATTCTTTCTTGAACTCTCGACCATAGAGAAGACACTTTCGATTTTCGCTCAAATCGCAAAGGCAAATAAAAAGTTATTATTATTATTTTTTTCTTTTGTGAGAGACAGCCAGGGGAGACCCTCGGTTATTACCAGACGCCGACGATTTCACTCCGTGCAGGCCAATGTACCTTGGCGACACTTGTCCACAGTCCGTCTGCCCCGTCTGTCCGTGGCTTATAGATGAGACATTGTTGGCCGATTTGATGCGGGAGCACGCCAATTGGCTGGCATTGAGCCGGGTGCATAATGAAGCTCGCACACAACATAGCCACACACTACACACCACAAACACACACCCATCCATCACAAACAAATCAATTCGCTTAGTTGTTTTGTTTACTCGCACATGATTGTTATGTTTATATCGTGTCATGTGATGGCTGGCAATTGACGGACTGACTGAGTGGCCAAAGCCTCGACTGGAGATGAGTCAGGGTCAAAAGGAGCGAAAAAAAGTGAGAAAAGTATTTCAACGGGGTTATGTTATGGGAATTACTTACTTGACTTTATAGGGATGTATAATTTTATTCTTAAATGTAGTTTGAAATTGCCTGCTATAGGAATTATATGGCTTCAAAGGTGTTTTTCCTATATACTAATCTTGATAGATAATCAGGCACATCTTAGACATAGCTAATTAAAATAATATAGAAGCTAAACTTATAAAACCCAATCCCATAATCTCTTTTTTAGCATTTCCCTTTACTTATTTATTAAAGTGTTAGCTTTCTTTTATAAATACAACTCGGTATATAGTTCACACTGATTAAGCTATTTCCTTCAGATTAGACAGTCCTAAAAAAAATAAATAAATACAGCGAAAAAGTAAACTAAAATTGCTATAAATAAAAGCAGCCAGCGACAGATGCTGATAAGGCCTTTTCAGCTTCAACTCAACTGAGAAAAACAGTAAACAAACGGACGAGTTAATGCCTTCGCAACCGTGATATCTAACGGTCCTCCCCGCTTAAGGCAAACAACTCGCTCGCGAGGAAGACACACATCACATGAGTCACTCGCAACAGTGAGCTACAAATGTAACTGTCAATCCAAATAAAAGCGCTGCAACAATTCCATCTAATGCGGCATGCATCGCAGGAGGGGGGGTTGACGGTTCTTGACTGCTGCTGCTGATGTTGCATATATATCGCTGATGTTGCTGCGTTCAAACATGGTCTGCCATTTACAGCTAACGAGATTTTAAGTGCTGTCAAATGTTGATGAAAGCAGCAGCAAATACCCCCGAAAACACACGCACGGATTTAAATGGAAATTTAGATTTAGATTCAGAACAAGTGTCCCCATGGGAACCAGAAAAAAAAGGTCAAGGGTGGATAACAGGATTTTGTGACTCTGAGCCAGTTAATGTGGCAAAAGCCAAAGGGAAATTGATATTGCAAATAAGAAATAATAATAATAAAGCCGGCTTTTCTGTCTGTAAAAGTTTCAAGAAGGTATGGCGAGGATTTGCCAGCTAAAGAGACATTATTTATGATCTCATGCTATAAATTACATAAAACTTTAATGACACTTGCCATAAATCATACAGGAAAAAGAAACTGCATATTAAAATTAAAAAAAACAAAACCAAAAACCCACGTCTTAATGAAACTCGTTCCACAAAATAATGACTCTCCAATTTCGGTCTCTGTTTAATTTTTTGTTGTCTTGTCTCGGGTAAACCCTCCAATGTAGGTCAAGCCGCCTGCTACTTGAGGAGGAGACCTGCCTGTAGATCTTTGTGAATCTCTGGAGTTGTGGAAGCTCTGCAGCTGTGAACCTGGCGTAGCCATTCCCAAAACATTATGAAACAGCGGCAGTTGTCGTGGCCAGGTTGCCGGGCAAACTGCTGGCTCATCGCCCTGCTGGCCACTCTGACAGTGGCGGAAGGTGAGTAAAGGAGTATGATCCTCCCATGTCATGTTTAACTGAAGGAACTCTCGTATAGTTGCAGCTTTGCCCTTCCTGTTCACGCATCTCCGGCCGCAGATAAACTGGACGCAGTTGGAGACGCAGCCCTGGGTGGTGGAGGAGCAGCCGCGCAGCATTGAGCCGCATCTGGAACTGGTGCCGCATCCCAATCGCACCAAGATCAGTGCTTCCGATGCCTCTGATGCGGAGTTCCTCCAGCGGCTGGCCAACCAAACGGCTACCTCGCGAATGCTGTGGAACGATGCGGGTGGCGGGGATGGCCTGGTGTATCCCCCGTTCGTGGACCGCGCCCTGAGGCTGCTGAACCTCAAGCAGGTGGCCTTCGAGGTGGAGAACAGCCTGATGTCCCAGGTGACGTGCACCGCCTGCCGAGCTGGTGCCGGTATGATCCAGCATCAGATTCAGTCCGGCAAGACGGACGCTGACTTGATCCAAATGATCACGGACTATTGCACGAATCTGAATATCCAGACTGCCAGGGTTTGCCAGGGAGTCGCCCAGCTCTTTGGCACCGAGTTGATCTACGTCCTGAAGCGGGTCAACCTCAGTCCCGACGAGCTGTGCAGCTTTGTGATTGGCGATGGCTGCGCGGATGTCTACAATCCCTACCATGAATGGGAGGTGATCTTCCCACCGGTGCCTAAGCCACCACGTCTCGCCGACCTGCCCATTCCAATGGAGGCGGCTCCATTCTTTAAGGTCCTCCACATCTCTGACACCCACTATGATCCCCATTACGCGGAGGGCTCCAATGCCGAGTGCAATGAGCCTCTGTGCTGTCGTCTCAGCAGTGGACGACCAGCAACGCCAAATGCGGCTGCAGGAAAGTGGGGAGACTACAGGAAATGCGATACGCCCAAGCGGACGGTGGATCACATGCTGGCCCACATTGCCGAGACCCACAAGGACATTGACTACATCCTGTGGACCGGCGATCTGCCGCCGCACGATGTTTGGAACCAGACCAAGGAGGAGAACCTGGCCATTTTGAAGGAGACGGTGCAGCAGATGGTGGAGAAATTCCCTGGGGTGCCCATCTTTCCGGCTCTGGGCAACCACGAAAGTGCTCCGGTAAACAGTTTCCCTCCGCCGTATGTCAACCAGGTGGACATCTCAATTAGTTGGCTCTACGACGAGCTGGATATCCAGTGGCGTCGCTGGCTGCCCCAAAGTGTGACCCACACAGTGCGTCGCGGAGCCTTCTACTCGGTGCTGGTGCGTCCAGGCTTTCGCATCATTTCGATGAACATGAACTACTGCAACAACAAAAACTGGTGGCTCCTGTTGAACTCCACAGATCCAGCCACGGAGCTGCAGTGGTAAGCTAGCAATATGTGAATCTAAAAACGTATATAAAAACTTTAAATTTCTCCTCAAGGTTCATTTATGAGCTGCAGAGTGCCGAGTTCTCCAACGAAAAGGTTCATGTGATTGGTCACATTCCCCCAGGACATTCGGACTGCTTGAAGGTCTGGTCCCGAAACTTTTACAAGATCATTGCTCGCTATGAGAGCACCATAACAGCTCAGTTCTATGGACACACACACTACGATGAGTTTGAAATGTTCTACGATCCGCATGATCTGAGTAAGAAATTATTTCTAGACTCTAAAAACAACCCTTAACTTGGATCTTATCTTTACAGATCATCCTAATAGCGTGGCCTACATAGGACCTTCTGTTTCGCCCTACTACGATCTGAATCCTGGCTATCGGATCTACTATGTGGATGGAGACCATGACTCCACCACACGGCTGGTCATAGACCACGAGTCCTGGATAATGAATCTCAAGGAGGCCAATCTGTATGGATATCCCATATGGTATAAGTTATATACGGCACGAGCTGCTTACAATATGAAGGCTTTGCGGCCCAGTGACTGGAACAATCTGCTCAATGAGCTGACCAACAATCAGGAGCTCTTTGAGCTGTACTACAAGTGGGTTCAGTCTGTTAAAAATTAAATTCCATTTTTATATTTGATAAATCTCCTTTAAAAACAGATATTACTGGAAGAACTCGCCGGCTCGACCCACTTGCGATGCCGAGTGCAAGAAGAGGCTGATCTGCGACTGCAAAAGTGGACGCTCCCACGATCGTAAACACTTTTGTGCCGAGGTCGAGTCGAAGATCGATCAGGAGTCTTCAAAGTCCTGGAAGTCGTGGTTCTATCGGGGACTAACCAACTCGTAAGCACCTTTCAGTTGATAGCTGCTTGTTCTCCTGGTGACGGTTGCACTAATCAGTTAAATCATTAAATTAACAATTGCTATTAGTTTCTATGTTTGTTACATATTTAGTTTTGTGTTTTGCTTACCATTTTTACTTTATAATAACGAACTCATTTTATTCTCTGCACTGGTGTGGTTCATTCAACAAACTAAAATATCGCAAAAACTAATAATTGCACAGGTCTGAGGAACGAACAGGAGATACAGCAACGGATGGCGACAATCCTTTCGACTTGGTGATTGTTAACGTTGGTGGTTAAGGTGGTTAAGGATTGTATATATATTATATACCTTTGGTGGCGAGACAATCTGTAATCTATAATAATAAAGTTTACGATGGAGACTTATTCCGTTACTCTTTCTGCAACTCTCTAGCTATAGCCTGCTATCCTCGATCACCTACCTGCCCAAATACCTGCTGGGGTACCGCTGATTATCCGCCCATCCATCTATCATCAGTCAACTGCAAGTCAATGCAATCGAGAGGAATCGCCTACCCCCTAAGTTTACTATGTGATAACTAGTGCTTAATGCCCCCACTTTTGTCTAAGTTAACTTAACCGCAACAACATCACAATGCCCGCCCCACGACCTCCGACTTGGACATATATTTATATAAATATCTCCCAACGCCCGCCCAAAACTGAGTCAGTGAACAATAGTCATTTAAATGTAATCGATCGAGTCGTTGTTGTTTTTGCTGCTGCCGTTGCATTACGGGGCGAGGCAGGTGCGCCCATCTGCTGCAAGGAAATTGTTGAACAAACTACTTTTTAGAAGCGTAATTGTAAAGCTAATTTAATGCTTATCGTAAATAAAGTGAAGTTATTTAAGTCAAATTTGAATTCAAATATTTCAGTGTTGTAAAAGTTGTAAAAGTGGCTAGTTACCAACACTTAACTTAACATAACAGGAAACAGTGCTGTTAGCTAACATGGCAATTATCGATTATTCTGTTGATGTGCCAGAAATGTATCGACAATTGGAGGGATATTTAAACCAAGGGGTGGCTGATAAGGTTTAGGGTTTTAGAAAAATTATAAATTACATATATGAGGAAATTATAAAAAGTAAAACTAGGTATTGAATAATAATAGATTATTAATTATTTATAATAATTTTTCAAAAGGTTTCATTTTTTCTTTATTCATAAAAAATTTTTTCTTACAAACTGTTAATATTTTTATTGCAAAATTGCTTAAAGCTAAATGATAGAGCCTGGTAATAACATAAAAAATATTATTGGTAATCAAATAAAATAATTAAGACTTTAGGCATTACCTGATAAAAATCGTTTCCCATCAGAGAGTTAGTGATTGTCTTATATTTAAGACATTGAATATTCAAAAATGCATCACTTTCTCACTCTTGTGAAAGGATCAAAGCTTGAGCATTCTTAAAGGAGTAATTAGACAGCCTGATTACCTGAGCTCCTGCTCCCTGATAAAGCCCATCACCTTTAAACATAATGCACTGCCCAAGGCTTGAACTTCCTACTCAGAATAAGCTGACGCTGGTCCTTTCAGCAAACGCAGAACGCCGAACGAAGGGGGAAATCGGCGAGGACGAAGGCAACAGCAAAGGGATATCCTAGTCGTTGTCAATACGCCCGAGTGGCCGCTGCCTTGAGCTTGCTGAGCGGGCGTGCGTGTTTTCCTTCATTGGTGATAAGACACGCAGCGCGATGTGTGTGGAGTTGTGGGGGGGTGTACAGAGTGTGTGTGTGCAGGGTCTCCTGGCTGCCAGTCATTATCCCTTTGTCACACATATACACCCGCACGTTTTCCCACACTCGCACAGCCAGCATCGTGGAAGCAAAACAATTCCGTTTACATTTCCCACATCCCCCCACACCCGCACACTCACTCTCGCTGGGACACTCACACACACCCACCCACTGGTAATGGCGTGTGCCGCCTACTTTTTTCCTGATTTCGCTGCTCGTTTTTGTTGCTTTGCATACTTTTCGGGGGCGACGCTGCCGCTGGGAACCGCACACATGTGTGTGCGACAAACAAACAAAGAAAACAAACAAACAAACAAGCAAACACACACACAGCCCCAAAAACAGGAGAGTAACAACAACAACAACAACGAAAAGCACAACAATGCAATGCGTGCAAATTTTTAGAAAAATATACAAACAGCCAGACGGAAAATGGGGGGCATTATCTCATGTGGCAGGCGCAGGATTCACAGGATTCCGGATGCCGCGCTTAAATGCCGCTTAACATATTTGATTTTTCTTCCTTTTTTGCAATATATTTTTGCATGGTATTTCCCATTTTTTTTTTGCTCCTCTGTTTTGTTTTGTTAGCCATTGTTTGCCTTGGTTGTTGGATTGCTGTTGCTGTCAAGCTGGCATATAAATTTGCATTTCGACAAAGCGCGGGAGTTCACACATGTTAACCCATTAATGCCCGATCTGTGGCACGCAATATATACTACGAGCAAAATAAATATATACATATTTTGGTACTCCCTGCAGCTTGAATACAAATTGTTTGCAATGGGTTAATTTTTGACAGCCATTGAACAAGGTTCGGTTTGGGTTCCTCTTTAGAATTGGCGCCTTCATTTGAATGCCGGAACACGTTTTTAAATAAATCAACGCATTAATTATTCTCGCATGCATAAATCGTCGATGCTGTCGATGCTGGGTGCCTGCCTCTATGCCCCCAGGAAAATTGAGTGCTGATTTTTCCCCATTTCCCACCCGCTGCTGCTGCTGCTGCTGCTCCTGCCAACACCTCTCCGCAGAGTTTTATTAGCTACGCATAATTGCTGCGGCAATAAAGTTGTTATGCCCGAAAAAGGAAAAGGACACACGGGCAAATCCTAGACCTCGTCCATATCGGCGCGTGACCCGACAGCATAACGACATTTAAGTGGCCACCGCAGCAGCAACATCAGTGGCAGCATCAGCTCTAGGCGATGGGCGGTGGCCGGTGGCCGGTGGGCGTGTCGGCTTGGGCCATGTTTGGCAACATGTTACAAAAAATTGATGCCATTGCTGTTTTTCCATCTATTGTTGCTGCAGCTGCACACCCACAATATTTATTGTTACAAGCTGGCAAGTGAAACACAGGGGCGGAAAAGTGCAATAAAAAAATGTTCAATTTGTACAGATTTAAGCATAATTTTTTTAGTCTTTAAAAAGGTGTAGTTTTTGTTAATTTTAAACTCTTAAATTGAGATTTAAGCATGTTTTAAGTCAATTTATTATTATAGAAGCTGGGAAAATATGTAATTTAAGTTATTATTTCTAATAGTTTATATTTTTCCCACATTTCCAAGACTTAACAATTACTTGAACTAACATTTACAATAAAGGACCTTTCTGCTTCCCTTCAGTTTCAGCGTTTCAGTGACTGTCAATGCCGTTGACGCTATTACTTCCGTTTGGCGTGTAAAGCGCGTAAAGAAAATTATATTTAATTACTCAAGCAGAAGCATGACAAGTGAAAATGTCGCCCGGCTTCCAGGATCCACAGAGAGTCCAGAGTCCAGAGTCAGGCTCAGCAGGCCTGTCAGCTTGTCAGGAGCAGGCGGCATTGCCAAAGCCGCCGGCGCATTGGTCACTTTTCGTTGTCGCTTTGCTCTGCTTTTGCTTTTGTTTAAATTTAAATTCTATAAATAAATCTGCATGAGGCACGGGCCATGTTGGCCATAAGCACAAGCAAGTGGACTGTAGCTGCACTTGGCATCGCTGTTGGCCACTAAACAAAAGCTGGAACTGTGTTGTCTCCCTCTTCGTTCTCCAGCACTCATACACACACACACGTCCAGGCCCCGCTGGCCGAAAATCGCAGGACACTTATTTATGGTGGGTGGGTGGCAGGGTGCCTAAAAAGGACGATTTCGGTATGTCTGCTTGGGTCAGATGGGTTTCTTTTCTGGTGTTATTTAGTTTTTACTTTGCTTGTTATTTAAAGTTACTGAATTGATCAGATATGGGAAGATCTTTGGACAGTGGAAGTTAGGTTTTAAGAAAGTATATAACTCACATTTTATTTTTACTTTATGCCTTTGAAATAATCTGAAGAAAATAAATAATACGCAGGGAAATATATTTAGGATCGTCTTGGTCCCCTCCAACATCAATCCTCATAAACCTAATGATATCTAATGTATCCTTAATCTTGTCCTTTGCCAAATGACATAATTTCCTTTGGCTGCACATCGATTATGGCGAGGTCTCTTCCTCCGTTTCCTACATAGTGTTGTCCCTGCAGCTGGAAGGTAATGCATTCGAATCGACAGACCAACTCGAACGACTCGAACGACTCGAACGCCTCGAGCACAATGTTAATCCGATGTAAGCTCGTGTCCGGAATCCACAGATCTCCACGTCATGCTTCAATTGTTCCCCACATATTGTTCTCTACATACACCCTCCCACTCCCACTCTTACCACCTCCTTCCACCCAGTGAAAGCCGGTGCCCGGAACCATCATCACATGTGCTCACCTTTGCCATCAAAAAGCAACCACAGGGGAGAAGCAGGACGAACAAAAAATAACCATAAGGACGAAAACATGGGGGCGTTGGGAAATAGTAGTAAAGATAGGAGAAAAAAAAATAGAAATGGAAGGAAAAAAATCTCAGCTGCAAATGACTTGTGTGCCATTGAGATAAACCCAAAATTTATTTATTTTTACCATAAACCCGAATGCAGTCAAGGCAAAAAGGACTTTTGGCCAAAGCCATTGTGATTGTGTGCGTGTGCCTGTGTGTTTGTGTGTGGCAGGCATTTTGTTGTGCCTGTATTTGTGTTTGAGCTTTCGGCAGCAGCAGCAACAAAAGCGATGACGATGGCAACTAACTACAAATCCGTAGGCAATTAATTTGGCTGGAAAACCCCAAAAATACAAAACACACCCGCATGTTGCTCTGTGTGTGTGTGAGTGTGTGATTGTGTGTGTATAAAATAGGCAAAAATATTAAATGGAAAGGCACCGCGCTCTCGCTCTTGACGCTGCCATCGCCGTCAGTCGCAAAAAAGCGGAGAATCCTGGCCAAGGAAAAAAAAAAAAAACAGTTTGAATGGAAATTCAATTGAGTGACATGAAAATGGAATTTTTCACATTCCCCCCGCTGCTTCGGCTGCTGAGATGAGATGAGAGAGCAGCAGCAGCAGCAGCAGCTCCTGTTTGGCTGCCAGGCACATCACAAACACAGTTTGTCTTCATGTTGTTGCTCCTGTTGCTGCTGCTGCTCCTGCTGCTGTTGTTTTTGTTGTTGTTAGCCGCAATAGTATCCTGGCATAGAGCAAGCGAAAGCAAACGCCTGGCAGCGTTTCCAGCCACATCCTCCCACTAGCTCACTCACTCGCTCACTCACTCACTAGCACGCACAGCGTAGGAGTCCTGTCGGAGATTATATCCCCGCTCTTGTCATTGCCTCCGCTCCCCCTCTGCCTGCTGACAACAAAAAAAGTTTGCTACTGACATTTTCATAATTAGGTATTCAAAATCTTTAATAACGGTTACTCTTGCTGGTTGCTGGATGCTGCTGCTGATGCTGCTGCTGAGAGCTGCCAGTTGCCAGTTGCCATTGCTATTACCGCACATACACCCACAAATACACATGTACGCGCATTATCCTTATAGAGTTTCTGTGTCTTTGGGGCATTCAATTGCGGTAGCTAAAGCATAAAGCATGTTGATGTTGCTTGTTGCTATTGCTAGTTGCTACTGGAGCTTGTTGCTGCTGCTGTCATTGCCTGTCTGCGCGTTAAATGTATTTTTACTTTGAGTGCCAACTGATGGTAAGCTGTCAGGTCTGTGAACCTTACATCAATTGTTAAGAAAATATTTCAAGGATATTTATG